TTTTTCAGGTCACAGAGTCGGACCGGAGGAGTGAGCTGGCGGGCGGTTCAGGATTTTGGTTTTCATGTTTGAATTTGGCATAGCAGTGTTGTTACTATCTCCCGTAGTGGAGTTTAAATATTTTGCCTCGCTACGTTTTCCGCTGACTTTTACTGTTTGTTAAACTTAGCCTTTTGATACGATTACCAGTCAGATTGTTTATATTATGATAAACGGTTTTCCTGAAAAACTATAATGGATTTCAAAGTACAACAACGGTTTATGGTAGCACTCCAAAACATGATCTCGCAAAGTAATCAGTAAGTTCTAATAAAAGGTTTTGCGAAAATTTAACTCTGATATTTATGACATAGCGGGGTGTTACACTGCCCAGGAGAGCCCAGACCATCGGAGACCACAGACCAGATCAAGGACTGCACAGCGCTCGGCTAGCCGAGTATTATCTCTACCAGACATACAGACACAGCCTAACCACGGGCAGATCCAGTTAGGTAGCACCACTGACGTTTGACATTTCAGTCACATCGCTAAGTCGGAATGCCCGTGGTCTGGCTAATAGGACCACCCTTGCTCACGTTCGATCTCTCATTCGTGAGCATAACCTTGACTTTGCGGCTTACTTAGAGCCTATGACTCGCGACCCCTCATTTGACGTATATTCGTGCCGCCTTGTCTTCCATGCCGGGGTGGGCAACACCTCTAATAAGATTTAGTTCTTCTACTCACATGACTTTACCCGTCAGATCATCCGAGATACTGACCAAGTTTTGCACGTGAAGCTCACCGCCACCCATCTTCTGGAGCCAATCTTCCACAACTTGATTTACGCCAGATGTGCGAGGGCTGGTCGCTACGATCTCTGGGACACCATGCGTGAGATTGCCAAGAGTATGGAGGAATTACCGTGGATGATTAGCGGCAACATATTTTTGCATCCCGATGAGCGTATTGGTGGCCTATCGGACCGCTCGGCAGAGATCTTAGATCTATCGCATGCCATGGCGGATTGTGAGTTAATTGATGATGGTTATAAAGGCTCATCTTTTACGTGGGAGAGGGCTGGAGTCAAGGAGAGGCTCGACCGTGCTTTATACTCAGAGGCATGGACGAGGGTGTTTGCGACCACAGTTGTAACATACCTCCCTCGATTTGGATCCGATCATGCCCCCTTCTGATCTGGTGTCGGTTCTCTAATTCACCATGCCGCTCTACCTTTCGGTTCCAGAACATGTGGGTCAGTCACCATTCTTTTCACGACATAGTTAGAACTTCTTGGCAGCAGACTACGCACCTCTATGGGATGCACAACCTGAGGAGAAGCTCAGGAGACTCCGACGCGTTTTGAAGCAGTGGAACTGGACGACTTTTGGCGACATTACTCAGCACCTTACTGCAGCTCAGACTGCGTATGTAGAGGCTGAGCGGAACTATGATCTGGACCCTTCACTAGAGAATAGGACCGAGATGCGCTGCTGCCATGCTGAGTACCAGTTGCGCCTCCTTATGGAGTAGGATTTCTAGATGAAGAAGGCTGCTGTGCACTGGGTGGCTGAGGGGGAACGTAATACCATGTACTTCCAGGGATTTGTGAGGCAGAAGCGGGTCAAGTCGTATATCCATAGTGTCGAGGATAACGGGTCATCCGTGCCTCAGGAGTCCCAGATACGGGAGTCGGCTAAGGCTTACTTCTACTCCCTCTTTTCCTCTGAGCGGGACTTGCTTACGTACACCTACCCTGCCCTGTTTCCGACCATCCCACAGTCGGTCGACCTTATTGACCTTTGTGACCTCCCGAGCCCGAATAAAGAGGAAGTCAGAGAGGCTATGTTTGGGATTGATCCCAACAGTGTCTCTAGCCCAGATGGCTTTTCGTCCCTCTTCTTCCAGTCATGCTGGGAGATTGTGGGAACTGATGTAGAGGAAGCTGTAAGGGATTTTTTCTCTGGCCACCAGATGCCAAAGTCCTTCATAGCAACCTCCATAGTTTTGATTCCTAAGAGACCCGGACCGAGCTCATGGTCCGACTATAGACCTATCAGTTTATGCAATGTGACTAATAAACTCATCTCTAGGATCCTCAACGGGCGTCTCGCCCGTCTCCTCCCCTCCCTTGTCTCTCCGAACCAGAGTGGACTCATCAAGGATCGAGTCATCAGTGATAATATTCTTTTGGCTCAGGTGATGATTCATGATATCTCTCATGCGAATCGAACACGAACCTCGAACCTCGTGCTGAAGCTAGACATGGCCAAGGCATATGATAGGGTCGAGTGGTCGTTTCGCAGGGAGGTACTGTTTCGGATGGGATTCCCCAACCGCTGGATTAGTTTTGTGGAGACGTGTGTGGAGCACTGCACGTTCTCCGTTTTGATTAATGGTAGCCCCACGACCTTCTTCCCATCTACTCGTGGCCTGCGTCAGGAGGACCCCTTATCCCCCTCCCTTTTCGTTCTGGTGGCTGACTACCTCTTTCGCTGCCTTGACCGCTTCATTCGCGATTTACCGAGGATGACCTACAGCACGCGTGGCTGTAGGCCTCCCATATCCCACTTATCTTACGCGGATGACATTATCGTTTTCACTCGTGCGAATGATAATGGACTAGTCAATCTCATGAGTCTTTTGGACCACTATAGTGAGATCTTCGGCCAGCTAGTCCGTGTTAGTAAGAGCACTTTTATCATGGACCACCACATTGTTGATCAGTGGGCCCACCAGATCCACGAGCGCACTGGCTTTGCTCGGGGAGACATACCCATCCCTTACCTTGGGGCCCCCCTGTACAAGGGCCATCTCTAGCATGAGCTTTTCATCGACGTCCGTCAGAGGATGATTGACCGGATTTTCGGTTGGTCACATAGACACCTATCTTTCGGGGGCCTTCTTGCTCTGACAAAGAGCACTCTTTGCACCCTCCCCTTTCACCTACTCGCGGTTCTCGACCCCTATCCGTCTACGGTTCACGAGTTTGATCAGATCTTAGCCCGCTACTTTTGGAGCCATGGCGAGGGCTCGCGGGGACGGCGGCAGACCCACTGGGTGAAGTGGGACTCCATTTGTCGGCCTTATTCTGAGGGTGGTCTCAGGATTCGACGTTTCTCGGATGTTGTCCATGCGTTTTCCTACAAAATGTGGTGGCGTTTTAGGGAGGGCAAGTCTCTTTGGGCCCAGTACTTCCTCCGGAAGTATTGCCCTGGTAGAACTGCTCACCCTTACAGGGTGGCAGCAAGTGCTCGTGATAGTCGACAGTGGAGACGGCTCACCATTGTTGGTAGGCGTGCCCAGAAGCACATTTTCTGGACCTTGGGCTCTGGGGAGGTTAGTTTCTGGGGATGAGTGGTGGTTCGGCGAGGCCCCCCTTTCGAGCACTAGGACGGTCACTCACCTGCCTTTCATGCAGGTGAAGGATCTTTGGATGGGGGGAGTTTGGGATAGAGATAAGATGGAGAGTATTTTAGGTGAGGGTGGG